CCCCAAAACCCCAAAACCCCAAAACCCCAAAACCCCAAAACCCCAAGTATTCCACTCTTCATTGATATTTTCCTACTCTTATCCTACCCACCACTTAACAAACATGGTGGACTAGCCAAGCTTCAAAGAAGTTTGGCTTTTTTGGGCATGTCTAGGCTGAGGATGTTGGTGAGGTTGGGTGAAGGCGGGATTTAGATGAAATTAGGGATTTATTGTTGCGGGTGGAGGAAGTTGTCGATTATTGTGAGCATTTCAGCAGTGGAGTAGTTGAAGTTTAGGGGAGCTCTGACTCCTTGTATGGCAATAGCGTAGATGTCGTAGATCCTGGCGGCCTCTAGTTCGGTGAGGTAGGTCCCTATGTATTTCTTGTCTCTTCTTGAGTTGATCATTGCTTGCCAATGAGAGTTGTTCTTAGAAACACCGATGTATCTAGATCTTCTCCCAAGTGTGACATCTGCAGTCCCTCTAGTCTTTTTTGGTGAACTGAAGAAAGCGGTGATTCCGCTGCTGAGAATCTTTCTGCGCACTCTAATAAGACTTGGCTTTATGTCTAGCTTAAAGGAGCGTGATTTCCTCCTTTTGATATTCTGAGAGTTGTCATCAATATTTTCTGATTGTTCGACTTCTTCTTTACCAAGTTGATGTGTAATATTCTTTTTATGAATCTTAGATTTTGTACCTGATTTTGAACATCAAGATGATCCATTCATATCTTGCTTACTATCGTTTCTATATTTAAAGAGTAAGAACTTCTAAAATCAAGAGCCTGAGATCATCTTTGTTTGAAGAAAATTTTCATCACTTAATGCTTACCCAATACTAGTGCTTAGCTTCGAATTGATTGAGGAAGTACAGAATCACCAATCCTGACAAATTCAGACGTCCTCAATACGAGGAACAGTGCTATTTATGTGTGAGCAGACTCAATATGCCTCCTCAAGCTTTTTGAGCATGGCTGTATACTCCCAGGACATGGTAGGAGTTAAGCCAGAGTAACCATTGTTGTTATGGAAATTCATAATAAAAATTATATTAAATATTTTATCTTTGGACTTAAATATCTATTATGTTTGTTTCAAGGATTCTTGCAACCAATAAAATTTTCCGAAGATCAAAATTGGTGCAATTTTTCTTTAAAGCAAAATAAGTTCAATATGCTTCTATTATTGATAATAGAGCGAATCTGAAGACTTCTGAAAATTTTAGCTAAGCATATGCAGAATATTTATTAATCTATCAGAGATGGGATTAAACTCCTTGGGCTCCTTGCTCTCATACTCTTTTAGAGCCATCATTCTGTGGAGGCATCATACTATGGCTCATCTTACTAAATACTAAAATATCAATTTGAAAGAGAGAAAATCCATGATTCAGAAAATGTTATAACATTCTTATAACGGAGCATTTATCAATATCAAACGAAGACTGTGAATATCTCGATTCATCAGCCTATCTATCTTCTGGAAAATTGATGAATTTTAGTCATTGCAAGGCCTTATTTCTTAAGATAAGACTTTGCTTGATACCATCTTCTCTGGTGGTCCAAACTTTTGATAAACTACTATTAAGCAGCTATTAACCTTATTTAAGAGGCATGAAAACGATTTCTCGCTCAGAAGAGCTCACTTGGATGACAAAGGAGACATCATTAAAAGCTTAAATGAGAGAGACTCTCAATATGCATGTCCTATCTGGCTTTAAGTAAATTCTTATATAATTCTTCCTAATTTCAGTAAATCTCTTATATTATTAGTGATTCCTTAGCCATTAATATAAAACAATTATGATACATAATTTTAAGGATTTGGAATTAAAAACTTGGATTATTTAACTTAATAGCAGAGACAAGACTTTATGGCTAGCAAGAAGCTTATGATAGCTCATCTGATGTCTCAACCATAGATCCTCACTTTGGATTAGTCACTCTGTGATGGTAAAATACGATAAAATAAAGTAAGTCCTATTGTAGCACAGCATCTCTAGTAAAGCCCAGCATGAAGTAATGCTTCTAGTCTTCCTTTAGTGTTAAACTCGTCTTGAGTAAGCGAATCTATCCAAAAATTTAGTTCATCGAATTTCTCACTTTTCATGAATCTCAAAATTATATATGAAATTTGGTTAAAGTTTCTCAAAAATTGCCAGATACTACTTAACTGGAATTAATCGTTCTACAAACCTTAAGCATGTATGAAAGGGGCTAAGAAGCTATAAATTTCATCCTTTGGTATCTTCCTTTGATAATCAGGCTCGAAGGGTTGAGATTTCATCAAGAAGAGTGTAAAAATCTACAAAATTAGACAAGATTTATAGTTTGGCTAAAAATATCTCCAGAAACTCCTTATGTTTCTTGAATGAACTTGAGATTCATGGAACTTTCAACAGAGCTAAAGCTGCATTTAATCCAAGATTTATGCTGATCTAATCGAGGTAGAACCTTAGTTGTCAAAGAAGAAGCCCTTTGCTGTTTTCGATAATTTTAAGCATTAAAACATGCCACAAACAGGGATGATTCATGGAGAGAGCTTATAAGCCTGAATTCATAATACCACTCTCCTCATATCCAAAATTCTCAAAAAAATCAAATAATCTCAATAAACTTTGGATTTATACTAAAATTCAATCACTGAACATCTCGCTGGGGTTTTGGGGTTTTGGGGTTTTGGGGTTTTGGGG